GGAGGAGGAGGAGGAGGAGGAGGAAGAGGAGGAGCGGGATGATGAGGCACAGGAGTAGAAGGAAGAGGAGGAGGGGAAATAGAGGTTGATCTCTGCATGGGTTTAGATTCGTGAATTTAATAGTCACTGTAACTACGATCGCTGCATGTTTTGCGCACATTTCGACATGTGCCAATGCCGCATACATGTAACGCTGTGGCTATATGCCCGGCAGCCGGGCACGGTCTTCGATTTCCTAAATGTCCCGCAGTTCCTAACCATAACCCTAACCAGCGTGAGAAACTAGCGGTCGCCCAGTCGCCAGTGGCGATTAGAAAATCGACCGGGCGACTGCTTGCTCGTGTCAGCTGGTCCGGCGGGGCGACTACATAATCACCGCACAGGAAATAAAAAATTTACCAAACTGAGGCCATAATAAAAATGTTGTTTGTTTGCTCTCACCCGACCGACCCTCCAAAAAGGGGCCGACACAAACATTTGTATTGACCGTTTTTTTTTAAAGTTTCTGTATGTGGCAGGCCTGCGGCAACTGTACGCGGGCTATAGTACTAGAGCTATGCACAGCCTTCGTACGTGCCTTTTGGCTGGGCGGCACTGATTGAAGTAGGGGGGAGGGACGAGTGCATTATTGATTGTTTCACTTTCAGCCAAGTGCCAGGGTGCATGTTCATTATTACATATGTAGGGGCTATGGTAGGGGGTGGCCGGGCACCGCTGGTATGAGAGCGCGACAGCAAAACTTTCCTGGAATCGCTGGATTTCAAAACTTGGACAGCAAAACTTTCCTGGAATCCTGGAAATCGCTATATTATGATTTAGATATTAAATAACTTAATTATGGATCTAACTCTGACAGATTAACTCTATTTTCCTTTCCAAAGACTGTGATAAGAAGATATTTATTATTTCTTAATTCAAGTTCCTTTTATTTGTAATGCTTTTATTTCCACATTACGTGTATGTGTGCGTGCGTGCGTGCGTGTGGTCTGGAAATAAAATCATGCACAATTTAGCTCTGATAAACACAAGTGTTTAAAGGTATTTTATATGTATATTGTATCACTGTGCAATGTACATTATATAAATGTGTAGGCAAACATAAAAGGTATCTCCCCACAAGCACACCTGAGCACGTAGACACCATTGCTGAATTTGTAAAAAGACCCCCCTCAAAAAAAAGCCAACCACACTTTTCAGCCTGGGTCGGGTGAGGGCAAACAAAAAATTGTTTAATTGTGGCCTGATTATTTTGTTATTCTCTACTAACCTTCTTCATTATTGTAATGAAATCAATGGTAAATTTAATCAAATATAGACTAAAAATAGTCAAATTCCGAAGCCTAAAGTTCATGCGAAGTACACAAACTCTCGATGTTTGTTGTGTTCGATTTTCTAGGTCATGCTGTTAAACCTCTGCTAATTCGATAATACTGGGCATCCCGACCAATCAGCGATCGCGTGTAATAAAATATGATAATTTATAGGAATAATGGGCGGTCTTCAGAGACCGCTGATCTTTGATGTTTTGATCGTGGATTTTTGATCCTGGATTTTTGATCTTTGATTGATTTGATTGATTTTTGAGATTGATCTTTGGACTTGTTCCGATTTACTACGCATCAGTGTATCGAAACGAGTAAAAAATATAATTTTTAAGAATACCTTAGAATGCACATCACCAAATTGCACCATCCCCCCCCCCCTATAAAAACGTCCCCACATCCGAGTCATTCCCTTTGCTATGACAGAAATCCTGGACCAGTGCCTACTGACCAGGACCAGTACTTCCTCAGAGGTACTGGTCCTGCTGGACCAGTGCCTCCAATTATCAGTTTTTCACCCTGCTAACCCTTGTTTACTTGAGATAACGCTGAAAATTAAAAACTGCCGGACATTTAGATTTAGGAAATCGAAGACCGGGCACGGTCTTCAATTTCCTAAATGCCCCGCAGTTCCTAACCATAACCCTAACCCTTGTTTACTTGAGATAACGCTGAAAATTAAAAACTGCCGGGCATTTAGATTTAGGAAATCGAAGACCGTGCCCAGCAGATATATATGCCGGCTGCCGGGCATATAGCCACTCTGTACATGTAAACCTACATGTACATGCGGCTTATGCAAATACGGGTCACATTTGCGGTACGACAGTACACAAACTACTAGACCAATAAATTGTGCCCTAAAAAATTTTATATTCTGATGTTATATTAGATTTATCCTAAAATAACATCAGAATATACAAATTTTTAGGGCACAATTTAACTACAGTACAAGGCCAAGTATGACACTGATCACGGACAATATGCAATTGATTCAGCATAAATATAGCATAACAAATTTAAATTGCCGATATTTTAAAGAGAATTGAATACTCATTAGACTGATTATAGTACAGTACAGTATATTTATATTGCGATTGCGAAATCTTCGATTGTGTACGCGTGTACATGCGCACGTGTGTACAGGCATTGTATACGCGCGCACGTGAATACACACTCAGACACTGTACTGTACTGTAGTCTGTACTGTAGTCTGTACTGACTGTAGCCCGACCAGGCTGTGCGACGGATTGTCTATACCCTAGACTATACCCTATACCCCTATACCCTATTGTCCTAACCCTAGCGATACCGTTTCTCGGAGCTATACTGACTGTAGTGTAAATTTACTACACGATCGATTGTATTACTATACGTAATATGTAAGTTAATTACTACATGCACACAGCAAAACGAATAACGTACGATCTACCTTTGCTATCAACGCCTACTGGGCCGAGTGATCAACTGCTGTAACTGCCTGTAAGAAATCGATTGCATGAACTGGCTTACCTGCCTGCCTCCACTACCAGAGGCAGCGTGCCAGCGTGGTTGGTAACCAACAACAAAAATCCAATCACCAGCGAACCACACACGACTATCCGCAGTTCGATCACTTCTTTGCTCACAGATTCAGGTGATCCTCTAACACATTATCATGGCGACTATTGACGTGATAATAACGTTATTTGCCGGTAATAATAAGAACATTCCACACAACAATACGAACACAAACATAGAGAAAGAGACACCACGCTGCTTTAATGCTCGCGCATGTATGACGCATACTTTGCTACTAGCGCCACCGCTAAACTTTTCAGGCACAGGTGGGTGTACGGTAGGGTGTATTAATTACAACCCCACAATTAACCTCATAAAAAACGTTAATATTAGTCAAGTAGACTATAGCGAAGTAGGAGACAAGCCAAGCTTAGTTGAGTGCTCATAATAATACTGCAGATCGCAGTAGAAAGACGAGAGAGGGTATTATTTAGAGAAAGACGAGAATATTATATAAAGGAATAACAGAATCACATATCCGTTTATGTACTTTTATACATTAATTGACAGAGATAATTAGAGTTGTAGCAAACATTCGATACTCATTCGTGATCGCATACGATCAAATATAATCTAAAACGATACCAACTCCCCCCAATCACATCATACATATCTCACGAATGACAGACCGCGTCTGCTACCGATAGTTGTACACTAACGCCACCAAATGGCCAGGTGTGGAAGTACGTATATATATAAAGCTCCTGCAATCTTGGAAACCAATGTAGCCAAGCGGTGACGAGCTGACGCATTTAAATAGATGGCACATATTTCGTAGCTTGATTTTGTTGGTAAATGTGTATAGTGGGGTATTAATATAATAACCCCAAAGGCTATCTTGGGCGATCAGTCTTCCAGAATTTCTCCTTGGTGTAGAATAGAGTCGTATATGTGTGTTAATTCGCGCACGCCGAGTATCTACTAAATATTATTCCGTTGAAATAAATGTATTTAAATTATAGAACATATATATTCATTCGCTAGTTGAAAATATATATGTCTAGCCTAATATGATAATATCTCACTTTATTAATTATAAGGCGTTTAATCTTCCTGAATGTCTACGTAACACCTATGTCAGAGTGAGGATGCTGTAATGAATGAACCCTATGTGAATGCTATCTATCCATGTACCCACCCAACGTACAGTCGTAGTGAAGAGCTCTGCTGATTTCTCTCTCGCTGCTGCCACGTTACTCCTGCAGATGGCGTTGCTCACTTCGCGCATCGTTTACTAATTACATTAATTACATTGATTACCCCACGCGCGTGCACACACACGCACACGCTGCCACCTACTGCCGAATAATTATTATTTCATCATATGCGTATTTTGCGTGAACTCAGGCGGCAGAGCGGCGGCCGCGTGACGTCATACAATAGCCACGGCCGGGTGAAGGGCCGACAACAAAGGGATACTGACACGTGTGCTATATAGCCAGCTGGGTGCAGTATATGTGGTACTATATAAATAAATAAAGTCTCTTCTCTTTCCTCTCACTCTCATCTCGTCCCGCTACTCCATCTTTCATTCCCCTCTACACACACACCACAATCTCTCTTTCGCACTAACACCACACGCGCCGCGGCACCACACAACACGACCACACAACACACACACACAGCCACCACACACACCACACACACACATCGCGCACACAACACAACACATCACCACACACACACACACACAAATGCACCAGAATCCGCTCCCATTCACCAGTATTAATAATTGCACAACACTCACACCGATCGTGTGGGAGCAACGAGGATGACCCATCACCTGACACTCGTTCGCCTACGCGCCCTCACAAGAATTGCAAAGCCATTTAAAAAACGAACCTCGCCTCCCGCCCAGTAATAAAGCTGGCTAACGCCGCCTGGTAATATTACACCAATGTGCTTATTGATAATGCAA